TTAATTTTCTTTTATTGGAATGACTATGACCTGGATGACTAAGAATCTTCACCAGCATCTTGTTTGGGGTTTAAGTCAGTCCACATTTCCCACTGTGACTGCCTCTACTACCGATATGCTGCTGCACTGCACAGCAAAAAGGCTCCACAGCGCCATCTACCAAAGGAAGCCCATTTTCCCTCATCATTTTAGGTAAAAAAAAAAGTTAGATTGGAAAATGAAAGATCCATATTATATTGGGCAGCGAAAATCACAAGATATCACTAGATCTATTTTTTTCCACAGCCCCAGTAATAAGACAACATGACGCCTAATCTGAAACACTGCAGAAAGCTTTTTTTTTTTATAAAGGCAGGAAGATGTTCGTTAAAACGGTTCAACAGAGAAGAGCTGAGTCAGCCAGGAAAAATGAAACATCACCAGAAGGAAATGAGAGATCTGAGCGTTTCAGGCCTGAGCAGCGCCTCATATGTCAACCGATGAGCCTGAGACGGTGGGCAGGAATAACAAGAGCTCCGGTGAAAAGGGGGGAGAGTTTAAACTTTAAACTTACAATCAAATCATGTAAAGATTGATCCAACATTTTGTTTAATATTTGCCAATTCGCTTCGTATTGAACATCGCACCCACTAAACCCAGCGGTGAAAAGCAGGAATCAGTTTAATAGATAAAAGCCTGACTGACTGAGTAAACAAACGGGATTCAGAATCTGTCGTCTCCGTGGTGACAGGAAAGCGAGTGACGCTGCGAGGGCCTTGGGCTGCAGCGGTTCACAGGAGCGTACGTCAGGAGAGGCTAATTAGCTGTCTGGTTCCCACACTGTCAGATGAAATGTGTCATCGCTCCATCCTGCACACCTCCACCTGCCTGTCCTCCTCAGCAGCTGCTACTCCGTCTGCCTGTGTGTTTCCTCTGTTTTGGCATCAGAGTGAGGACCATTTTAATGATTTCACCGTCGAATGGTTCGCTGCTCCTCACATCCTCTAAGATAACTGTTAGGTTTAGGACTAAGGTCTTTGTTAACATAATTACATTTAATACAACATAGTTTAGTCATTAAACGACAAATAAAAGAAGAAGCAGGGAAGAAAAACTTATCAGATCTGTACAAATACTTCAATTGGGTAGATAGAAGAAAAGGGAATAAACATGAAATCATAAATAAATCTTCAATTCCTTTTTATCTTCCAGTGGAATTTTTCACGGCTACATGGGAGCTAATGGATTGATCTGATTTTCTGTTTTAATACATAATTTCGGTTTGTACTGATAACTAGCAAACTTCCAGAGTTTCCCCTCAGGATGCCCGGCTTTTATTCCACCTATGGGTGCGCAAATAACGGGAGACTACAAACCAGATCCCGTGGGATTACCTTTCATTAGTAGGATTTTATGATAGATTATCCTCATCAAAACAATTTTCTATCCTCAAAAATTGTTTGAAAAAGAGTTTTGGAAGAAGTTTAGCGAACATTATGAGGACCTAAACCTTTAGTTAGACAAAGAATAAATTAACCAATAACTATAATATGAAAAAAGTCCTGACGGTGGCGAAAAATAAATAAAAATGAACATAAAATTGATAAAAACACAGAAAAACAACTATACTCTCTTTCATAAATAATATTACAACTAAGTTTCCTCTATAGATCGTAATACTATTATCACAGAAAAATCTTTAAAAATACTAAATAATAATATATTATAATCATATATAATATGTATATAATATATTGATATATCATTTTGTGCTTATAACATTAATATTTAATTGCAAAATATATAACTATGTACATATTTCACCCAGTTAGAGTTCAGTTTAAAATATTTTTAATCTGAATAAATGTGTGTAATCTAACTGAAAGGTAATTCTAAAATATTTTTTTGCCCTTTCAAGGGTTTCTGAAATGTAAAAAGGTTATTGTGATATTATCTTTGATCATCTTCCATGTGAGGAGTCTTCTGACAGCAGCAGTCTGAACTTTGGTCTGACCCAAGATGGCCGCCCTACGGGCACCTCGGCCTCGCTGCCCGCAGCGTCCAATGAGGCGTCTACGTATTAA